CAGAAAAGTGCTCAAAAGTCCCAATCATTTTATCACACAAGGCTTGAGTGGTGGCTTAATTTTACAAGGCCATCAAAAGTACTCTTCTACGTGCAATGTTGGGTGCAGCGGAGTGGAATGCTGATGGGATCTTTGGATGATGCAAATTATTTTCCTGACTGACTCAAGGTTGGTGGTGGACCTGTAGTTCTTGTTGTGGACCATCCAGTTGAGACAAACCCAGAGCTGACCTTCCCCCAGCTTTTCAGAGGCAGTTAATCACACAGGAAAAGGTTGCCCAACTTTCTCCTTCAGAGCAGCTGGGGGATTCAAACAGCTTATCTCTGGTTGACAGCACAATTTCTTACCACAGTAGGGCTCCTTTAGTGGTGAGCCTGGTGGTGAATAGTTCTACTCTGAACACAGGGGCAGATGAGTCAGAATCACCTGAGTAACAACCAACAAAAATAAGTTGTTGTTTAGTGTTTAGCAATTTCTAATATGGTGCATTTTACACACACACACACACACACACACACACACACACACACACACACATGTATAGTTCCAGAACATCAGTAGATGTATTCTCCAGGGCACAGTGGGAGGTGGTGATGTAAAGGCACTTACTGTAAGGAGCTCACAATTGCGTAGCTACCTGCCCGCAAGTCATCTTGATGAGGACTGCTGTGAGGAGCTTGCACAGCTCATGAGCAAGAGATACAAGGTACAAGGAAGGTTTCCTGGAGAACTTAGTATTTATATGGAGCAACGATGTTAGTTTGAAGACTAAGGTGTACCTGATTCAGGCCATAGTGTTTTCAATTGTTTGCTATGCTTCTGAGAACTAGACAATTTATAAGGATGGCAGAAGAATTACTGATGCCTTTGAATTGTGGTTGGGGTGAAGAGCACTGAATGTCCCATGGATTGCCAAAAGAACAGAGAAATGTCTTGGGGAAAGTGCAGCCAGAGTGCTTCTTGAAAGCAAGGATTGTAAAGCTTCATCTTTGGGCGTGTTGCTAGGAGAGGCTTTTCCTGAGAAGCGATATCGTGCTTGGAAAGGTGGAGGGTCAGTGAAGGAGGGGAAGACACTTAGGGTGATGGATTGACACACTGACTGCAGCAAAGGGCTCAAGTGTGTCAAGAGATTGTGAAGATGGCACATGATACGGCAGCAGCACCACGAAAGAAGAGCTAGGTGGGTGTTCACAGCCATCTCTGTCAAGTCAGAACAGACTCACGGCTGACCCTCCAGTTCTTCAGAGGCTGTAAACATCACTGCAGAAGTCTTCATCTTTTTTTCTGCTGAGCAACTAGTAGATTTGAAATGCCTGCCCTTGGGCTGGCAGTACAACTCCTTACCCACTAGGCTACCAGAGATGCTCAGTGGTCTGAGTTGCACGCTTCAGGTCTATAGCTGTCTGGCTGTGTGGGTAATAGATGGTTCCAGGAGCACCATTTACATTGTGGTCTGTGTGAATGGAGCCCTCAGCAACGGGCCAGTGCCTACTCAGCATAACTCCACACAGCAACTCTGCTGGAAAACTTTTTCTCTGTTCCAGCAACCACACGTCCTCTCTCATTTCTGCCCTCAATAATGAGATGCTCGGGCTCTATGTGCCCAAGGTCTAAGTCAGCTCAGCATGAGGGCATTTGGTATATTTTGTAAATTTGTTACTATCTACTGGCCTTTCACTGTTTATCTATAGTCCTTATCGTCTCAACTTCAACTCCTCCCTTCACTTGAAAACTCAACCTCCATGCTATTTCTATAAGAAACCTATTGCCTAGTCTTTCCTACTTCCTTATGGGGTTCCTGCATCCTGTCCATGAAAATGACTTTGAAGGTGCAAACACTATGGAAGTCAGTAGCTTCTTGGGGAGGAATCCATGAGGAGCCTCTGCTCATTCCCTTTCTTTCGTCCCGTGTTAGATTTTACTGTCAGGCCCAGTCTGTGATTGTGAGAACAGGCCAAGCTTAGAGATTCTTCAGGGTTGGTTCCAGACTGCCATGGAAAAGGAGTATGACAAGAAAAAGGAATTACACTTTTTCAGTTATGTTTACATTTTAGTTTAGGTTTATGGCAAAGCCTGAACTAGTGTGAGACTCAACAAAATGGGATATAGACACAAAGTGAGTACATCTATTGGAAAAATTACCAGTATATTTACTCTTTGGAGGGTTGTTAAAACTTTCAATTGGGTTTGCACGTTTTTTTTAAAGAATATGTGAAAATAAAATGAAGTGTAATAAAAAGACGTGGGGTCAAATCAGTTAAAAAAAAAGGCTTTGCCTGTCAGTCTGGGCCATTTTCTGGCTCCGATTCTGAGCTGTTTCTCCCACATTATCCTCAATTCACTGTCCTCCAATCTTTCATGGGGCTATTGTAAATTTTATCCCATATACACAGCTCTTGAAAGAGCATAATGTTACCAATATAATAATTTAAAAAAAGAGCATGTTCAATGTACGGCTAAGCACAATTGATAACAGTGCATCTAAATTCCAAAATCAATCCCCATAATAGTCTATGTGTTTCCTACTGCCAAGGGGGCCCTTTAGAGTAGTGAGAGAAGACATTCACCCTGAAACCCACAGCGTCCCTTTCCAGCAGGAAGTAGCTAAGAGAATACACCATCCCCTTTTCCTTATGAATCAGGGTGAAGTCTCTCTCAGGGAGGAGTGATAGGGAATGGCAAGGGACACACTGACAAAGGAGATTAATCAGAACTGGCTTTGACAAGCACTGTGGCAATTGGACAATTAAAACAGACATGGGGGGGAAGAAGAACAAACTGTGGAGGAGGGTAGAGAGAATGGTGCAGCAATGAAGGAATGAAAACCCAAAATCCCTGTAAATGTTCATTAAAACTAATAAAATTTAATAAAAAAAAAGAAAAAAAAGAGCATGTTTAAGATGGGCATTTATTTTTTTACTAATTTAAACAATAGTGCTGGGAGCTCTGGTGGCCTAGTGGCAAGGAGCTGCAACTACAATCCCAGAGGCGAACGGTTCGAATCCACCAGATGCTCTGCCAGGTAAGGAGGGACAATCTCCTCCTGTACCAGTCAGGTCTGATTTGACGGTACACGCACACAAAAATAATAAAATAAAAAAAAATAAAAAAAAAACCCCAAAAAACAAAACAATAGTGCTTGGTAAGAACACTCCAGTGGCTATTTTTTCCAGATTTTAAAGATTGTATTTCAGTTTTAGTTCTAACTTCATGGCTCCTTAAGTATGGAACCCACAACACGAAGTTCTGTGCTGTATTTCCTCCCTTTACATCAAGATTCTCCTATAGAATCTGTTAACAGTTGTGCAATCCTATTCTTAATTATGCTATTTCTCACCATGTCACTGTTCAGTCCCCTTTCCTCCTATCCATTGGTAACCACTAAAAATCTTTCTTTTCTATGTATCTTTTTATATGTTTTATTTGACCTTTGTGACTGGTGGCCTAGTGGTAAGAAGCTGTGGTGCAATCCTGAAGGTATGCAGTTCCAATCCACTTGCAGGAGAAAGATGGACAGTCTTCCCAGGTGATTAAACTGCCTCTGAAAACCTACCCGAGGGTCAGCTATGGTTCAGTTGCGGCTCAACGGTACACAATTTCCAACTCCATCCCTATTTCTGTATGCATCAAGACTTCATTTCTCCTGAGTATTATTCTGGTAGTAAGTGTATTTTACTTATCCATCATCTGTTGATATTTATTTCCACCTTTTGGCTATTGTCCAAGTCTTTGAGTGTCTACTTTCTAAGTCTTCTGGGTTTATGCAGGAGTGGAGTAGTTTATATGGCTAGGTACCAGTTTTCCACAGCAGCTGCACTATTTGCATTCCCAACAGCAATGGTTATCTCCCCACATTTTTGCCAACACAATAATTGCTGCCATTCTAATGGAAGTGATGTATTATTTTGTAGTAATTGTGATTTGCATTTCTGTGTGTGTGTGTACCGTCAAATCAGATCTGACTGGTACAGGAGGAGATTGTCCCTCCTTTTCCCGGAAGAGCATCTGGTGGATTCGAACTGTGTAGTTGCAGCTCTTTGCCACTAGGCCACCAGAGCTCCCCTGTGATTTGCATTTCTATGGCAGCTAATCACCTGATCGTCCTTTCATGAATTCCATTAAAATACTCTCTGGTGAAACTTCTGCTCCAGTCCTTTGCCTGGATTTTTGAGTATCTTAGTATGTAAAACTGACAGGTACAATTTATTCTTCAGAAAAACCAAGCGGTAGAGAAAATTTTGCTGTCCAACCCGCCTTCAGGTACTCTTACATTATAATTCTGCTTTGTCAGAATGTGTCAAATAATTTCCCTTCCAAGAACTTAAAACAGCTTTTAAAAACAAAAACCATAAAGTAAACAGAATATTTAATACATATAAGGAAATGGAATGCAAGGATTAGAACTTTATGATATACACCAGATGTTTATACAACAGAGGTTTCATTTCTCAAAGACATTTTCCCTATCTTTTCTCTCCTTCTCAGAGCAAGAAACTGTAATCAGTACTGTCTTGGTTAAGCTGTGCCATTGTGTTGGGTATACAGTATGTCTTAGCGGTTCAAGTCATCATCGGCTTAACAGACACCACTTCCCTGCACAGCCTCACAGCAAACTGGCAATCCAATGAAATGGGAGCCCAAAGAGGTGAGAGCAAACAGCGGCCCAATCTGAATGAAGGCCAGTGGCTCAGGGATAGAACGAACTGACTTAGTGACAGAGTGTCTACTGGCAAAAGCCTTCTATTTATTCATATTAAAACTGCAATAATAATAATAATAATAAAGTTACTTCAATGAAAAAAGGAACTCAGGAAGGGGGTAATTAAGGAATGAACTAAATACATTTTAAATATAAATACTATCGATTTCCTGATTAGTACAGGTAAATCTCTAAACTATCCTAAATTCTGATTTCAGAGAAAAAAGTCAGAGACAATTATAAAGGTGCTTCATGTTATCAAGTCCATTTTTAAGACAATGCAATCCTCTGGAAAATCACTTCAGTCTTTCTTTTTATCTGAGATTTCCGTTGATCCTTTAGTTGGTAATCCATTTACGTCTGCACCCTAAAATGAGAAAGAATTTTAAAACCAATGGCAACGCAGACACCCATTGTGACACATTCACTTTAAGAACTTCAGACTAGAACAGCTTCCCTTCTAGAAATGTGCTCCTATTGTGGTTAGTTGCCACTGAGTCTGCCCCACCCCTTGCCCAGCTCCTGGCAGGGCCATGCACAGTGCAAGAAAAGCTCCTCCTGCCCCATGTCCATAACTGGCTGCAGAATGGATCTCTGGGATCCCTACGGAAGGAGATGCTAGGCGATTCTTTCCAAGTCATCTTCACCTGGAAGCTGTGCTGAAACCTGTTCTAACAGCACAGCAACAAGCAAATTTCCAGTGACAGACAGTTGGGGACAATACAGGAGGGAATCCAACCTGGCTTCACACCAAGGCGAGAATGCTATCACTGAACCACCGTCTGCTCCAGAAATGCGCAGAATGGTTAAATTAGGAACACTGCTATGGATCCATTGAACTCAATAGGCACACATGCTTAAGATAAGAGTTGTCTACATTTTCCTAACAAAAACTCAACACTGAAACTAATACTAGGATCGTCTCATACACTAGTTAGTCACTGCTATTCTCACCAGCCAGGAATTAATAGTTACTGTTCAATTATTAGCAGTGAATTTATTTACCAGAAGTCTAGTTTATAATCCTAGTTAAAACAAACTGTTAAATCAAACTTATTCATGTAAAAACCAAGAACTTTCTTTCCAAACACTGCCTTTTTAGTGTTTTACCCTTCTTCAAATCATTTGTTCTTACCTTACAGTCTCCTTTGGCTTTAGTTTGTTCACCGGGTTGCTGTAGACTTTTTTGAGGCCATATGCGACTAACAAAAGGGGCTACCAGAGGGTATAAGTATGGCTCCAGGAATTTTTTGTAGACCCAGAGCAGAACTGGAATGACGATGCACGGGATACACACCATGGTCCCAGGCTGGAGGGCCTACACTGTTATGTATGGAGAGAAAAAAGAAATAGTCTGTCACCAACTAATGAGTGAGGATAGTACAAATATGGGGGGGGAAGACAACAAAAACCCCCAAACCATAATGAGGGTTCCATTGCTATTCATATTAACGGGGGGAAGACATGAAGACATTGAACTCGGCACCATGGCATGCAGCAGTGAAATGTGAACTTACTATCAGGCCTGGTCATCTTCAGGGACTGACAGTCTGCCTCTAAAAACCCCCTAATGGGTCCGCTGTAAGTGAATTCTGACACACTGGTACAAAACAACCACAACAATAAGGTGATCTGGGTCAGGCTGTGCACCTTTCTACATCACCCTGGGTCCCCAGGTCATGCAGATGGTTAAATGCTGGAATATAAGCCAGCATTCAAACTCATCCAGAGGCAGCTCAGATGGCCTGGCAGTTTGACTCCTAGATGTCAAAGCCACTGAAAATCATATGGAGTAAGATTCTCCAGGTGGTGCAAATTATTTACATTTGGCAGGTAATCAATAATTCTATGGTTGGTGATGAGTCAAACCTACCCATGAACAGTGACAGACAAACAAGTTTGAATTTCTGTAAATACAGACAAGAAAACTGTGTACGCTGGGCTTTACTCTGTAACACATGGGGGATCCTAAGCCACAAATCAACAAAACAAAATCCTATGGAAGATAGTTCTACTGTATATATAGTGGGTTTAGAGGGTTACCGGGAGTCAGGAACCACTGGATGGCAACTAAAAATAACTGGCACCAGAGCACAGTCAAGGAGGAGATTTTGGCTGGCATGTGCTATCTGGGGTTGAAACCTGTCTTCAGTTTAGCAAACTGGTTTTCCAGTAAACCATTCATACACAGTTTTATAACATTAATTATAATACTCACAGAGTAATTTCAATAGTTTCTCTCTTTCCTCCCTGTAATTTCTATTACCATTAATCCTTCTATATAACCTATTTCTGCCTTTGTCCTTGGCTTATGCTACTCTTTGAACCCCATATGGTTGTTCTAAGAAGGGAAGGGGTGCCTCCATCACTTTCTAGATGGTGATTGTAAATCTTCCTCTTCAAAAAAATAGGCTCAACAACTCACTGTCATCAAGTTGGAACCACCGCACAGCTGACCTGCAGAGGGTTTTCCAGAGGCTGTAAATCACATGGGAGCAGCTGGTGGAGTCTAACCATTTGCCTTTGAGTCCACAAGCACACTAGTCTCACCCACTAGGTCACCAGAGCTCCCCTCCCTCGTGGTGTTTTAGGGCAAATTATTTAAGCAGTCTGTAAGGTAATACCTATTTCACAAGGATGGAGAGGGGATTAATTTATTGAGGGAATCTTGATTCATATTAATCCTTAGAGGACAGGGCAGAACTGTCACATGGGGTCTCGTAGGCTGCAAAATCTTTATGGAACTGGCTCACACTTCTTCCTCAGAGGGGATGGTGGTTCAAAGGGCTGGCCCTTTTGGTTAGAAGCTGAGTGCTTAACTGTTGTTATCACTAGGTCTGCATAAACTAAATGTCCTTGAGAAACAGCCTTAAGAGCTACTTGGGGAAAGTCAGCCAATGAAACCCTCAGGGTCACAAGGGTCTCATGCCAGCCAAAGATGGGAACATGGTGAGACTCAAACACAGCTAGAAACAAAGACCCAAACCAATTCCAGTGCCCTCCAGAGTACTGAACTCATGGAGACAGAAAGACACTCCATCAAGGTTATTTTAGTTTTTTGTGTGTGTACCATCAAATCGGATCTGACTGGTACAGGAGATTGCCCCTATTTCTCCAGGAGAGCATCTAGTGGATTCGATTCGAACTGTGTACCTTTGAGATTGCAGTGCAATTTCTTGCCAGTAGGCCCCAAGAACTCCCTTGCTCCAACAAGTTTTAAAAGTTTTAAGAAGGGCACACTGCTCTAAAGGTGAGTGGTTCAAATCCACCAGATGCTCTTCTGGAGAAGGAGGGACAATTGCCTCCTGTACCAGTTAGATCTGATTAGACAGTACACACACACAAACCCAACACACACAAAACCCAAACACACTGCTTTATCTTTCTCCAGGGAAGCAGCTGCTGATGGATTCCAACTGCTGAAACACCCAATAAACTCCTCAACAAGCCACTCCTTTCAGATAACAATAAGCATTCCTTTCTGCTAACAGTAAAAGAAAGTATGTAAATTATGTCAAACATTCTTCTAGGTGGTATAGCACTGGTCTGTGCCTGTGCGTTGCTGTACAGAGGTAACTCGTGGTTGCTGTGATGCTGAACACTGTGACACTGATGTGCCAAACGTGGTAATGGTTACCTACGGTGTACAGTGTTTGCTTGAGGTTCCCGACTAAAACAAGCCTGGAAGCAGGAGCAGCATCCACTTCCAAAATGGTTTGCCTCCGGAAACCCTATGTACGAACAGTGCTCAGGCCTTTCGCTCATAGGGTCGCTATGAGTCGTCTACGACTCGATGGCACCAAACAACAACATGTAAATTATAAACAGGGGCTGAAGGAGAAAGTTCAAAAGTCCTAAGCTCCAAGGCTTACAAAAGGTCATGTTGTTATGTGCCATGGGGTTGATTGCGACTCATTGCGACCCGTTACAACAGCCCTGAATGCTACTCTAGTTAACGTAAAACCAGATTTCTTATTTCTGGTTTTCAGGCTCGATTGTTTCTTCTCGCAGAACACAAATGTCATGTTATTTAGAACTCCTCTAAACAAACCTTTAAACCCTTTCGAAACAACTAACAATTCGTAATATGAGCGTTTATGGTTACCAGATATCACTGTAAAAATCTTACCTTTGTATTTTATACAAAAAACCCTGCTGTTTTAAATAAATTCAAGCATACTGTGTAATTCTCAAGGGCAAATGCTAATTAAGCCACAATTAAGGCTGTTATAAAACGGTCTCGATCTCTTCCAAATTAAACCACTAGCACCATTTTACTTTGGAAAACTGTGGCTTGAGAGAGAACAAGGCAAAAGTACTAGACCATCACTTCACTACTTGTCCGAAGCCAGTTTTTGGATAGTATAAAAAACCCCACAAAATAGAAATACAATTGAAACAGCTGGAGGACAAGTCGCCTAACAATGGGTTAGAGAACAGAGGCGGGGGCTCCCGCAGGGCAGGACCCGCGCAGCCGAGCAAGGCCACCTCCCTTTAAACAACTCAGCTTCGCAAATCATCTTACTGGAGGCGCAGGGAAGAGAAACGGTAAGAAACGGTAAGAAAACGAGAGGAACAGAAGAGAGAGGGACAATATGAAGCTAGACAACTGACAGATAAAAGGGAGACGGAAGGCGGAACGACGGCGCAGGCAAGGAAAGCACGGTGATCCAAGGAAAGCCTGGGGCGGAGAAGAGGCCCGGGTCACGGAGCTCCGCGAAGGCCCAGGGAGAACGCCGGGGACCCCAGCCCCGACCCCCGCTCACCCTCGATCCCGTCCCGACCCCCCGCTCACCCTCGATCCCGTCCCGACCCCACGCTCACCCCCGATCGCGACGCCAAGTGGAAATGTCCGCACTTCAGGGAAGAGGGCCGCCCTGACTGCCGAGCCAATGACACTGCAAGGGGGCCTGACAGGGGCGGGCCTGCGTCAGCGTGCCGACGCACAAGGCGTAACAACGACGCCCAGGGACAATTTCCGGCGCTGCGGCTTCAGATCACATGACCAGAACCCTTCCAGCCCCGCCTTGTTATTATTGTTTTGTGTGTAGCGTCAAATCAGATCTGACTGGTACAGGAGGGGATTGCCCCTCCTTCTCCAGCAGAGAATCTAATGGATTCGAATTGCGTACCTCTGCGATTGTAGTGCACCTTCTTGCCACTAGGCTACCAGAGCTCCCCCAGCTCCGCCTTTGAGAGGTCTGGTTGAAGCTGATCGTTATTCCTCTTAGGCGGCTAGCAAAGTGAAGGTTAGGGAAATCGGTATTAAAATACATTTTTTTAAAAAAACTTGGTTTAAAAAGCTTATAGCTAAGGAGAAGAATAGTCTGAAAGGACTATTATGATTAGGTGTTAACTACCTGGAACAAGAGGTGCGTTGCGGAAGAAGAAAATGTGCAATTATGAGTAATTTAAAAAGTAAAAGAGGTGACAGCTAACCATGCATTTGTTGCTTTTAAGTATTGGTAAGAATGCAGTTACTGAAACCCTCACGCTCTCCTGATAAAGGAAATTTGTCTATTACAATAAAGATTACAGAATTGATGCCTTTGGGTTGTGGTGTTGGAACGCTGAGTATTCCACGGACTTCATATTTTGGGCATGTTGGTAGATCTGCTTCCTAGAAAAGAACATCATGCTCAGAAAGACAAAAGACCCACAATTGAGTTGGATTGACAAGGGCGACTTTATCAACGGACTGAGTCAGATAGGACAAGGGTACAAAATAGGACAAGGCTAAGGTCTGTTGTTCAAAGGGTCACGAGGTCACTAAAAATGTGTATGTTCAGTCTGGGTGTTAATTAAAGATAGAGACGGCCCTGAGGTATGCGGTTTGAGTCCACCAGATGTTCTGAAGAAGAGCCATCTCCTCCTGCATCAGTCAGATCCGATTTGACAGTACACACACACACACACACACACACACACACACACA